TCCCATCCTTTTTTTTTCGTTCACGGGGGATTGATAGATCATTCAGGCATGCCTGGAGTTCATGGTTCGCGCATCGCCGGGGGGGGGGGGGGGGGGGGGGGCATGTCCCAATAACAAGTGGATGGGGGATGGCGTTGTCCCCCTATAATGTAGAGGTAAATATACCTACGTTTGCACCCCCCGTATAGGTCTACCTGTGGGGCATAAGATGTTGCTTGCACATCACGGGAAGTGGCACAAAATGAGAATCGACGCTAGGCTATATATATGAATGCGTGTGCATACGTATATCTTGTTACAGTGCTCTCTACGGTCAAAAGGTGCCACCCCTTTTGAATTTCCCAACCTGCTGGATCCATCCCCCCCCCCCCGCCCTCCCAAATGTTGACGAGAAATCGCCGCCGCTGCCAAGAAGGGGCCGCAATGTTCTGCTGTACACTAAAAAAAAGCGAGAGAATTTAACGAAAGGCGGGTTAAAAACAGTAGAAAAGATTGTGAATATCAGTTACGAAATCCTCAGTCTGCAGTCCTGTTTTTACGCTTGCTTTCTGGCGTTGCGAAACACGGAAATATACTTCGTCGATAATTATGATACTTGATCCATGAAGTGTTTTCCATCCTGTATTTTATTACAACTCGTAAAACACAACATGTTATTATGGTACACTCAGTTTACTGGGCTGTTCTTGCTGCCAGAGTTGTCAATTCGGTAACCGAAAGTTAACACAATCGATTTCTTGAGCACACCTGAAATTGTGCTAAGTGTACGAAAACCGAAAATCTTACCGAGATTCGCCGTAATCGACTCTTTTGTTGTGGCACGCTCAGCATTGAAACCAGTAGTAAACTGTGAACTCCTCGAGAACTGAACTCCTCTCAGTCTTAATGGAAACAAACTATACCAAGAACCAATATCGTGCAGCCTGCGGGTTTCTCACACTCCGAAGGAAATTAAAGAGTTAATTTATCTACAAGGCATAAGACAAAACCTTTGAGGGATTACCTTAAACCATTGCTATGAAGTCACACTATTGTTAAAAGTGTGGATTCGTTACTACGAATCTTTTACACCGATCACAAAGTGTGGATTCGGAACGACGAATCTTTAGTAGAGTTTATCAAAATTTTAGTGTCGCAATTAGGTTATATTTATTGCTGGTCGTCTAATTAGTAAAATCACCGAAATTTGTGGAAAAAGGACAAGGGAATATTGGGTTAGGTTATATTTCAGTTGGAAACAAATTGTGCACAAGTCTATGGGAAAATCTCCATTATGACCCATTTCCAGTTATTATTATATATTCATAATGTTGATCAACAGGAAAATGCTTTGGAAATTGGAGGGGGGGGGGGTGTACACATAAAGGCAGACGCAGACACATTTTCTGTCTTTGTTCCTTTGGAATAACTACCTTTGCAAAGATCATACACTTTAGTTTCCATGTTCAGTTTTTATTAATAAATACTGGTTCTATTTCAATCTTCTGCTGCAACCTGTTATTTTGGAAAGGGAACTTCAAAATCAGGTGGAACTTAGGAAATACCCAGCTTTTGAACCTGATGAAAAAAAATCGAACAATATTGGGAACACAAAAAAGGAGCGTGTGATCTGCCTCAGCTTTCAGTGGGGAATTTCCAAGGAGTGCGAAAGGTCATGCTTTGAAAGAAGTTGAAAGTTGAGCTCTGCAGTGGGGTGCGCCGATGAGTGAGCTACAAATAAAGTAGCGATAGCGCATGGATCCACGCCAGCTGAGGTTCTTTGGTATTTTGCAGGTACCGAGAAACTGAAGGGGATGAAAAACCCTTTTGAGCAAAAGATAAAAAAAAAAAGTCTGCCAATAGCTGCCGTGGTATCCGGGTACAGTGCCTTTGAGCACAGACATACAAATACGGAAACAGCCACAATTTTTGGCTGAATAGCTTCCCATACCGTATTATGGCACTTGAATTCCCACTTATATTAATTTATATTGCCTTTTCGAAAACCGATACATCCAGCGCAATTGAAGCAAAATAATAGTGACGAAACAGCTGAAAACACTTCGCTTCTCACAAGATAAAACTGTCACTCTAATTTTACAAGCAGTTTCAGTGATTGTAAAACATTGTAACTTCATAAATGCAAAGTTATTATATGTACAATACAAGAAGAAGATAACAATTTGCATATCTTCATTTGTTTTGTGATAGTACAGTCTCTTTGTCTGTCATACGAGAGACACGCCATCCAAGCCAGGGCCCTATGCACAGAAATACCCCAGGGTCGACTCGTGCTTGTTTACTGGCGGTGCCGCTGAACTTCGACCGCCAAAGAATTTCGGGGATTCCCCGCTATTCACGTGACATCCTGTAATCCCAGACTCAGCCGGGAATTCCCACTCGCGTGCCTACGCGTGTGCGTATAGTACAGAGCAGGGATTTGATCCAACGAAATGAAGCATAATGGCTGCTTGGTTTACACCAACGTTTCGTACACAATGAACGTAAAGACTCAATATAATGCATGTTGTAATGTTAATCAACTTAATGCTGACAACTAAATAGACACAACACGAAGTGCAATGTTTTCAATATCCATTGATGACTGCTTTTGATTTTGTTTAAGGACATGCAACTCGAAAGTGTGTTTCGCGTGCACTATAGGGCCGTTTATTTTGTTACATGTACGCAGTGCTAGTGCTACACGATCGCTGAAAGGTTGGATATGCACAATCGAGGTCATGCTAACACAGGAGAAATCATAGATACCTTAAGGTCACTGATTAATGCTTAACTATTGTTGGTTTGTTTGCCATATTACCGTGTTTGGTTTGCGATTGATATGCCCTTGTATTATGCTTTCTGCGAATCATAAAAAATCCCGCTTACTTCTCGAAATCATAGGTCATTCTTTTCTTTAGAAAATAAACCTGCAGATATAGCACTCAAAAGATAAGCATCGTGGAATCTGCAAACTTGAAGTTTGGACCATCTGCACTCGTCTGCGGTTTACTTGTAACAAAAACATTTCGTGGAACCCATATGGGGTAAACTGTAAAACGACCCGCGGTGCTGAAGCTCAGTGGACTTCACCCTGGCTGAATAATGGGCTGATGCAGCCTCTGAACATAAGTAATGGCTATGACGATTTTAAGGACTTTTCAAAATAAAAAAAGGACAAAACCCGGAGAAATTGGGTAAAAAATAACCCGAATATTTGCGCCCCTGTACATTTTCAATAGACCGCATTCGCTTCTTGCTGCCAAGCCCATTGATGCGCATGTGTGAATAATTGTGAATTTATAAATAAAAATGTCCATTTTATCTTCTACATGACTGTCCAAAATGCTTGCACACTTATGCCAATTAGCAATAGCCTGGTGCCCGACTGTGCTTTACATCAGCGTTTGTTTTTCTATGCAGCGTCTGGGGTAAAAACAGAATCCATTCGACAGGGCATGAGTTCCCAAAACACCCTTTATGTTATATAGTAAGTTATTACGTCACAATCTTATCCAGCAAATCATTATGCAGTGCCATATCACTATATTAATTTTGTATAAGCTAAATATAAGATGGAGGATCTTTGTGAGGTAAAGAGGACGTAATGATTCACAGCGAACTTTAAAATGTATCAGGACAGCTTATTTATACACAATATTGAAATCCCCAGTGGGTGCTTCCACAACATTTCTTATTTCCAAACCTGTTTTCAGTAGTAAACCCTGGGTTTGAAACTCGTTTCCTTTATCCTGATTCGATGCAGCAATATCAACGTGTATTACACTGTTCGATGTGCATTCATAAATACATGAGACAGTTTACGCATTCCTATTAGTCGAGAGCCCGTCACGTGGCCGGTCTTAAACGGATGATAAAGACATGGCTAGCTGGTCTTAAACACTTTTCCAGTGTCACAATAAAATGTGGACTCCTAAAAATCCAGTTCCTCATCGTTTCATTGGTTGAACGTTCACAATCCTCACGTAGGCATGCCCAAAACTACCAGGGAGTCAGAATTGTATAGTTCTAAATTCAAAACGCAACGCGCCAGGTGCGTTCTGCGCGACATCGCTCAGAACATGATACGCGCGCGTCAGTCTCCATAAAAGGGCTGTTTACATCTTACTCGCCAGCTGAACACTCCATTATTTTGCAAGAGGGATGTTTCAAAAAGCATAACGTGAATTTGTTGAACAAAATCGGGAGGTTTTGAACGAATTATATGATTTTTTTTTTACCGAAACGCCTCCGGCTCGGGTAATTATCAGCACCCAGACTCTAAGTGGTCTTAAACAGAGTGATAAAAACCTCCAGAACACACATTTATTCCCTTATTGTTAAGTTCATTCGATCTCAAAAAACTCCACCATCTCTCTTTTCCATTTTGCCAATAGGCTAAGATTCCTAAATTTTAAATTGGAAACAAAACTATCCAGTGGCATAAATCCACTTTTGGGGGGTTTCTCAACACGAAAAGTGGTCAAAAAGTTGAGTCGGGGGATATATACCCCTGGATTTACGCCCCTGAAAATATCAATTGTGTTTTCGGATCTCTAGTGTTTGCTTTCACAAAGAAGCACCTTGAAGCACAGCCAGGCACCACACTATTTCGTACCTAACCGAATTTGCATACGTGTGCAATGTTTTTGGAAAATGCAAACGATCAAATGCCAGGGTCGTGGTGAGAGCATACTGCTCTACACCCTAGTAACGAAGTTGGTGCATCCAGTTATAAATTTCATAAACCTTAGGTGTCATATCCTGCGACTTCAACCAATGGAATCCACATAAAATCTAAATAGTATTCTTTGAAGCTCAATAAAATCCGAGTGTTTTGGGCATCCACCTGTCATCCTCAAAACAAAACAAAATACCTGGAGGGTACAGATTTCTGAGGAAACACCATTTAAAACCATTAGAGTAATGAAGGGTAAACCAAAATACTTTTAATAACAACTCCCCCCCCCCTTCATTGATGTTTATTTGTTCGAAGATATACGCCAACAAACCGATACATGTAAAGTTCAAATCTGCAACATTTTTTGAAATGTATTGTATTTATTGCTATACCGCAATCAAAATGACAAAAAGCTGTAGCTGAAAAGGTCACTCGACAATGATCAAAATACAATAACATCAAAATCTATAAATCATGTGAAAAAAGTTAATAATTAAAAACAAGTGCATTAACTGAAATGTGCAAAACTTGCTGGATGAAATAAACAAAGATAATTATGACAGTGATCTCAGAATTGAAAAACAAAATAATTAAAACTACATAATTACACCACATTCTGGACTAGAATAAAGGTCTAGGGAAAGGGAGACACTTTAATTATTTTTTAGATTAGGTTACTAGTTGTGGGGAAATCGACATTTTGTATCTATCTGTAGAACATTTAATCGTGGTGAAACATGACATGTAAAAGAATTGGAATCAGATTTGGAAGATGCAAGTAGCAGCTTTCTGTGACGGTTTGGTTTTAAAATTTAGTTCTCAAATTGACAAGAAAATTATTCCTTCGTTCAACCAAAGATGGTAGATTGATCAGAGCAAAAGCTTCATTGCAATTGTTTTTCTTTCCACGTATAATTTTTTACAAATTCTATTTTCTTAGACTTGGATTGAGTAGTGGCTCTATGCCAGCTGGTGAGGCATATTCTAATAATATGGGCCGTATGTAAGATTTGTAAACGGTTACAATATCCTCGATGGGAACACTGGATTCCTATTCAAAATGCGTTAAGTGCACAAGCTTCGAGAAGCGTTGGAAACGATGTCAGGTTGTTCATTTTTGTTCATGACATTTTGAAAGGATGCGGTTAACAACGATGTCAGAGATATCCCAATTCTACTTAAGACCTTTTGAATTATAATGCCTAGAAGTCTTAAATGTGAGACTACATTTTTAAAACCACTTTTTTTCGGGGGGGGATGCCTAATAATATTCATAATAGTCTCAAAAGGGAAATAGTAGTAACACTGCACTTAACAGGTTTTGGAGGGACATCATTTAGTCTACACCAATCTGAAATATTATCAAAGTTATTTTGAAGAACAGGTTGTTCATTTTTGTTTATGACATTTTTAAAGCATTCGGTTAACAGATGGGTACCCATGCTTCAGTTTGCATGTTTGTCGTCGCCAAGCGTTAAAAAAACTTCCATTTTTTTGTTATAATAATAATTATAATAATAATAAATTCAAATCGCATTGCGCGGACTATGATCAATCGCAAATTACATAATGTACCCCAGAAATTGACAGTAAAATAACATGAATTAAAAAAAAAATAATCCAATGTTAGAAAAGGGGGTTACAAATTAAGTAAGTAGGCCTACATCTAAGTAATGTCTATCAAGGCAATAAAAATACAAAATTAACTGATATATGAGCAATAGAATTAAAAGCCAGTTTTAAAAAGTCTTAACTTTACGCTAAAGCAGTACAGAGACGTTTAAGATTGATAGTTGCAGGTCAGTAAATAGGCCAATGATTGCCTACGCTGGCCGAATCGTGAATTGCATACCCTCAAATGTTGTGAGCCGTGAACTTGAGGGTTTCACGAGGGGTGGAAGCCGTGAACAGGACTACAAGCTTTATTTCTCTAAAATGGGGATACCATTTTGCCCTAAACTTGCTCTATGTTGCAATGGAACGAAGGCGTTCTTTTTTCAAAATGGCGATGACTTACAGGACTACTTTTAGAGTTGATCGTCATTGGGTGGTAATTTCTCCCAAATGTGATAGAATTACCAGAAGAAAAAAATGAACAGTAAATACAAGATGATGAAATAAGCTTACATTTAATGTGTATCTAAAACCATATTGGAGAGTCGTGAGTAGTTTTCCTGATTTTTTGAAGTGGGGTCTATAGCAATTTACTGGTCTGCAACCTTAACATGGACAGCCACTGCAGGACAGATTTTATAGTGCGCCCCCTTTAGCTGATGTTGACCATTCTGTTTTGAAATGTGCCAAGCGCGAGAATATCCTCTTTTGATCACAATGGACCGATCCAGTAAGCACCGCCCCATGGTATTCTGACCAATCACAGCCGTGATTGATGTCCGAAATGCGTGCACAAAAGTCCGACATGCTTGCACGCGCGTATGATGCGTGCGGCAGAAAAATGCAGTGTGGCATTGGAGAGGAGCGCGTGTTAATTTGCACACGTGCGCAGTGGGAGGGGCTTACTGGATCGGACCATTGTCTTGAACTAAGATTACCTTTGGGGAGCGGTTGTCGAGAATTTAGACCTTGGTTGCGTACGCGCTAAACTGAAACTCACCAACGTATGCTTTGGTCTTGGGATCGTAAGGTCCACCCCAGCAGACGATGAGGGCGTACATCTGCGTCCAACGGCTACTGTGAGTCACCACCGTGTTGCTTGGCAGTTGCTTCCCGTCAGCAGCAACAATGTTAAGAGGATGACTTAGCTATAAATATAAAGGGGAGAAAAGAACTATCAATCAATTACCCGTCTTCTATGAAAGGGAACTTTGTTGGGACGACTCTGGAGGTCTGAATTCTTTTTTCCCAGCATATCATGCCACAATAAATGCTGCGAAAACTTGTAGTACTGTAATAATAGAACATCATAGTTTATACCAATACAATGCATCTGCCATCGTCAGAACTTTCTAACAAGTGGTAAAGTATGAAGCTGTTGATTTTTCTCTTTTTCGTGAGTTGCGAAAAAGCTAGCTCAAGGCAACAATTTGGTGGCGTACACTGTATGGTGAATAGGTACTATATTTATGTCAATGAAGTAATTGACAAGCGTACATCACACGGTAATTGGTCGCAGAGATACTGAGCCCAGGTGCTTTCGCCTTCCCTGCCAGACGCGGTGCCGGTGATAGTGTACTGCGAACCGATGGCCGGGGTCGGGCAGAAGTTGAAGCTGAGATGAGCCTCCTGTAGCCTCGGTAAGGTGTGAAAGGCCGTCAGTGTGATAAACTCAGTCAGGTAGATCGTCTGATCGGTGGCACCCATGGGCTTCTGTCCGGGGAGTCCACGGGGAAGAGGCTCGACAGCCGACTGCTTCACTGTGGGGTTGCGTTTGCCTACCTGCCGTTTTTTAACAAAACAATTCTCATCAATGAATACCTTAGACAGCTCACACAATCCTATTGGTCGAGGACCTGTCACGTGGTCAAGAGCCTGTCAAGTGGGCCGAAAACAGCCCTTGTCTTTTGCTTGGGCCATTATCGGCGACCAGTTGCTGGCCCACACTACTATTCCCTTATGATGTCCTAATATCACCATTACATCGCCATTACTCAATCCTTCGGTTCCATTTGCCTGCAGTGCGTTTTACATACACTGCCACCATTAATCAATTACTAGCCTTCTGAGAACATGTAATGGTGGGACACAAAGGGGAGGGCGCTATTTGGATTGTCAAAGTCTTTGTACAACCAAACTTACCCAAAATGTATGTATGTAGAGGGAGTTGCAACAACTTCAGGCTGTTGAACCATAATAGCCGTTCATTATGTGTACTGTGCAGCTTGCAACTATTGTGTACGAATTATTATGTGCACCGATGCACAATCTGCCATTTTGGTTCCAATTTGTGCGATCCTATAAAGGGTGCATGAGGCCAGTAAATCGGTCCGAAGTTGCCTACGCCGGCCAGATCACGATTTGCATGCCCTCAAATTCTTCAGTATTAGAGCATTTTGAAGGCCGTGAACTTGATGATTTGTAAAAAAAAAAAAAAAGAAGGTTGAAAGCCGTGCAGAGGACTGAGAGCTCGTGTTTCTGTAAAATGTGGATGATGATAAAATTGCTCTATTTTGCAATGGAGCGTAGGCGTCTATTTTCAAAATGGCGGTGGGCTTCAGGACCACTTTTGGGGGTGATCATCTTTGATTTGGATTTTTCTCCCAAAGGTGAATGGTAAACCCACTGAAAATTGAGCAGACAATTTAAGATGATATAATAAGCTTTAATTTGATGTACGTCTTGAACACCTCACAGAGTTGTGAGTATTTTTCCTGAATTTCAGAATTGTGGACATTTATCATTGGGGTCTATGGACATTCAGTTACTGGTCTGCAACCCTCATGTCGCAACTCTCTCTATATTTCTCTGCCCAATGTATGCAAACAGCGTCTCCCTGTTTCCGCATAATCATAAATATCCTCCAATCAGTAGCATTAGCACGATGATACCACCAATAACAGTCGCGTGTGCAACAAACATTGCTGTTGTTCGGGGAAAGCAAAAGGGGCAATGATTTTGCCCTGTAATCGTGAAGAATTGAAAGTTGGTGACAGCTAAATAGTTAGAGAGAGCTTTCGTCGTGTACCTTAACGTGTCACATCTATAAACATAAACATATATCTTCAAAACACTCAAGATTGTGGGTGCAAAGAAGTGTTTTGAAATGTGTTTCAACACAGTTTTTACGGAGATGACGGGACAGTTGGTGTAGGCCTATATAAAAGCTGGATGTGTTTCATTTTGTTTTGGATAATGCTTGTTATAATTATCACCCGCGCTTGTCGAGGACCATGCATGTGCATCATAACGAGAACAAGACTAACAACACTCACTTTACGGGTTCTCTCAGCGTCCACTGTTAAGCTGACTGCCTCAACCAGATTGGCTTTGCCTTTGATGTACAGATCGCCCGCAGACGGCCAGGAATTGACCACACAAAGCGGCCCTGGCTTCCCTTGGTACATGTTGGTACAGAGGGCGTCCTTCTCGGTCTGCGGAAATACAATGGTGTCACGTGAGCTCATGAGGAACGTGTCACGTGAATTTGAGAATGGATGCATGCATTCCGACAATTTACTAAAACAAAACTAAGTGAGCCTAACAAAGCTGGTCCCGGACCAATGGTGAGTAAGAGGTCAAGGTGAAATTGAGTAAGTGAGTTTTGGGGCTTGAAAGTGAAAATCTAATTGACAGTGGATCAGTAATTAAGTCTTTCAGCTTTTATATAAAAAGACCACGAGTGTTATGTACATTGTTCCCCCGGGCTGCTCCACCGAAGAGTTGCCGATTGTCACTTTTGAGGTGACAAAATCCCCACCCGGGGGGGGGGGGGCACATTCTGATAGGTGCATTATATTTTTCACAATGTTCTCACTACGGGGACAGCATGGATGTTCGTGTCCATGGCGACCATATTGGATTCAAAATCTACTTTTTTTTAGCTATTGATCACATGACATGCCTATTAGACCAAACTGAATGCTTTTTGGTTCAGGAGCAGACACGTTTAAATGCAACACATGCACATTTCTGTTAACGTTAGCGTGTGGTTACTAGATAGTAACAAGGGACATCCAAACATTCGTTTGGCCATCAAACTCAGATTATCACGAAGCGCCTTCTTCCTTATTTGCCTATATCGTTCCGAAGACTTTGGTTCCATTACGCGAGGGCGGTATTTTTTTACTTACAAACACGCGTTTCTTGTGAATTATGCAGGTTCAAAGTGAACGGTTTAGTCAAGTTTAACTTATCAACCTAAACAAAATAATCATTTAATCAGTTCATGGGTGGAAAATGGGAAATCTTAGGTTCACATATAATGCAGTTATTTAATATGTATGCAAATGTTGTTTAGGTTTCAGTTCTCTACCTTGTTTGCCGAGTCAACGACATAATAATAGACCACGCCGATGTCGACAAACCACGTGGGGTTATTGTTCAGCACCACTGTCACGTTTATGTTGTCTCCCTTAGCTTGACCGCACAGGTAACCAACTAACGTCACTGCCTCGCCCTGCGCAAGCGTGGTGACCTCAGTCGTCAAGTACCTGGTTGCCACCGGGACATCGATCGCAGAAACTTCGGAAAAATTGCAACATTTGGAAAGTGTGAGTGGTAGGGACAAAGTGTCTATACGCAGACAGTTGGTGTGCTAAAATTGCTGAAACTCTAAGAAGATCACAAAGCGTGTGAGCAACAGCTTTCAAACGACTAGTCGGGAAAATCGTTAATTCGACGATAGCGATTCGTGAATTTCGACTGCTTGCAGTACATGCATGTAATCATTCACAAAACAAGTGACAATTTGCCTGGCGTATCGCGCATGTCATTTATGGGTGTGAATTCGACAGACACAGTTAATCTCGTGTATAACGCCTATTTACTTATAGTAATTCATTTGATCTACTAGTAATTGCCATATCATTAAGTGTACATACGGTAATGTCAATTAATTATTAAATTAAATACGATAATGTAAATACAGTAATGTTAATGTGACGTGCACTAAAAAACCATAGACGTTAGCCAGAGGTGTATTCCTTCCATAGTTCCTGGCGTAATCAAGCGGGAGATGTGCCTGGATTGTGTAATAAATTATCAACTACATGTATTCATGTGTTCAATATACAGACTTCCTAATTTTGACTGGAATCACTTTTTGACTTGTATAAATTCTGTGGCTTGGTGTTGCCACCTTTTGAACAAAATAATGCAATGCATGCGTCAGGTTTGATGCACTGTTGCACCCAGGATTTTCGGGGTGTTTTTTTTTTTTTGGGGGGGGGGGAGGTTCCCATTTATTTTTGTATTTATTTATTTTTTATTTTTTTTTTAGGGGGCGGACTATTGACATATTGACATATTTTTGAGAAGAGGTTTATTATACAGTCAAGTTTGATCGACGGTTGATTTGCCATGTTTTTTGTTATCATCAACGCTATGCTTTGAATCGGCGATACGTTTTGAAGTGTTTTGTTTTAATGGAGATAATGTAATATTCAACTATTGAAAGTCTGAAACAAATTTGCAATAAAGGAACAAAAAAAATCATTCTGTCAACAGTGACTTCATAGGACATTGAATTCGAAGCATAGGCCTAACTATGTAATATAACCAAACTTCTCCTCTCTTTGCATTGTAAATTGCATGTAATTACTCTATTGAGGCCTTTTACAAGTGACAGACAGACTGACACACAGACAGGCAGACATCAGACAGCGTAAAGACAGACAGCGATTTTTTTTAAAAATAAAGTATGGTGGGTCTGGTCTGGTGTGCTCTAATCATGGCTAGGACTGGCGATCCTAGGGGTCTATGCCCCACTGAAATGCATTTCTCTTCCAGTTTGCCCATAACACTGGTATCAGTCAATGTTTGACTAAATAATAAAAAGACCTAAGGCACAATTCAAATGAAATTGCTGCATTAATAAATGTGATTCATTGCAGTCTGAGAATAATAAAGGCCAATGTAAGGCCAGTAGTTATGTCCAGTCGCCTTGAATCGATTATTTACTTCAGGTGTGGGATGCTAGCTATTACAGGTAACAAATACTACGGTGAATGCCGGTACTAAACCCAATTTAAACATCTGATTTGAGAGACGCAATTTGTGCTGAAGAAGTGGTTTGTCAAAAGACACAAACTGAACATTGCATCTGCTGGATTTGAATCACCAACCCTTACTCACTCACCCAAAACCGCTCGATCACATTACGTCCTATACGGTAACCCATTTTCGACCCTACCGTCAACCGTGAAAGTCTTGAATACTTACCGACCGTCAAGAGCGTCGCAATCCCCATCAGCACTGCTCGTACGTGTCGCATGATGAAGCAGTTGTCTCGAGACAAAAATACTTGGGCCACAGGTAAATATCAACAAGACGCTATGGTGTGCGTGTTTGAATAATGCAAGACGGGCCTCTTAATTATTGTTCAGTGCAGGAAGACAATCTCAACCGGTGCTCACTTTGCGTATTCTCCCCCAAAACTAGCTGAACCCCCGGCCGCGCTTGGGTTTTTATGGAAACCAACAGCGTCACGAGGTCCCTAGATTTCCGTGTTAGGTTTCCTCTTTTGTTATGACTGTGACAGACGGATACAGAAATGATACGGCTCTCTGAGCTTCAGTCATTGCGCAAGGGAGTCGGGAATTTCCAGAGCGCGAAAATATACTGGAAAATACTTTCAGACTTCGGAAGCAGTGCGCTTGTCCGTGCCCCGTAGTTCCCCCCCCCCCAATGTTTTAGAGAGCAGTGTTTCGGTGGGAGGGATACATTAACCTACAAAAATGGGTCAAAATACTCAATGGAATACTTAAGTTCATAATAATAATGAGTATTTTTATGCATCCACCATTATTGGTGCACAAGGCGCTACATCAGTATTATCCTGCTCATTGAGCAAATGCAATATTGCAAATACCATCTCAGTTTCCTGGTGAGTACAACTCGATGCTGCCATTTCAGCACAAAGCAACTAAAATCAGTTACACCTCTTTGTTCTGACACCCCTATGTTCCGACAACTCAACCTATGTTCCCGTATCCCTATGTTCCGACACCTCTATGTCCCGACACCCCTATGTTCCAACATCCCTATATTCCGACTACTCAAAGTATGTTTCGACATGCCTATGTTCCAACACCAATTATGTTCCGACTGCTCATATTCTTATCCCTAACCCTAACCCTGACCCTAAGGGGCGTCGGACCAATGGGACTTCAGACCAATAGGACTTCGGATCAATGGGACTTCGGACCAATGGGACGTCGGACCAGTGGGACTTCGAACCAATAGTGCTTCGGACTATAGAGACGTTCCCGGAACATAGAAGTGTCGGAACAGGGTCGTCAGAACACAGAGCATTCACCTCTCCTGACCGCTAACATTTTGAAACTGTTTGGCCACTGTTGCTTTGAGCGTGATATATCTAAGTTTATATCAGTTTTCGAAGGCCAATAGACCGCTTGCAGACGCGTTCGATAATCGACGCGCGAAGGCGCGCGACGCCATGTTGTGGGACAGGCGTATAGCTATCCACGCACATTTTGTCCCAGAACATGGCGTCGCTCACCTTAGCGCGTCAATTATCGATCGCGTCTGCAAGCGGTCTATGGCGATTAATATGAGTGGCAATTGATAATACGGTATGGGAAGCTATCGAGCATTATTTAAATATGGCTGTCTCTCTATTTGCATTGTCTGTGTCCAAGGACATCTTCTAAAGCTAGACCTATAGTCAGACATATTTTTTTTCTCATTTGTTTAAAAGGGTTTTTCCGCGCATGTATTTTTAGCAGCAGTCGTCATTCATACCCTTTCTCGGTACCAGCAAATCACCGTAGAATGGTGCGTGAACCGATGTTTTACTTGTTCGCTTTGTAATTTGTAGCTCGCGCAGTGGTGCATCCCAGAGCACAAGTTTCGAATTCTTTCACAATAATGGCTTTTGCACTCTTTGGAAATTCCCCAGTGAAAGTGCGCGGCCAGATCACGCGCTCCTTTTATTTTTTCCCCGATTGTTTGTTAAATTTTTGTGTTATTGTCACTTCTAAAAGCAGGTATGTGCTAAGTCTCACGTGATTTTGACGACGATGTAACGTGTCTTTCGCAATCATGGGTTTTTCCAGACCCCCTTCCAAAAAGGGGGCCAGCAGATGATGGGAAATTAAAACAACTACCAGTTATAATTAATGAATAAAACTAATGAAATCACTAAGCATATTACTGTAACAAGGAACAATGAATATGTGCTCTGCCGGTTGAAAATTTAATACATGTACGTCTGTCGATTTTGTATTGTGCCAAAAGAGTCGACTATTGCTAATTATGAGACGATTTTCAGTTTTTGCATTGCGTAGCTTGACGGCAAGGCACTCAGCTCTGCAGTTTCTATTAATGTTGTGCTAAAAAAAAAGAATCGTTGTTGTCAATGCTCGGGGTGGCAATTGTTGAAGCATGCTCGGGCGTGCTCATACACTATAGACAGGTCTGTGACTCGTCGTTATGTTGCAGTCTGATGCTTTTCACATTTCATAGGTTTTCATAAAGTACAGCAATAGACTGTGAATGAAACATTACAAAAAACTGTCTAGTGTAGATCCCAGATTCAGAAGTTTGGGCAGGTGTGATAAATGATCCTGATATGGTTTAGCTCATGCCATGCCATATTTTCAATGTGGAGCGCCGATAAAATCCTAAAATCATTCACACTATATTAACTACAAATAAACCCTTGTCACGACTATTTCTTTAGGGGGAGACCGTTCGCATGTACATCACAATCCTTCTTTTTGCTAATGCAATTTCTTTTTACGGAATTTATTTTTAAGGGGCTAGACTCAATGGGGGGGGGGGGGGGGGGGGGCTAAAGCCCACCCTAGCCCCCCCCCCCCCCCCCCCCCGTAGAACCGCGCCTGCAAGGAGTACATTTTTGGTAGTGCTGTGGCCTTGCGGTCTGGTTCATTGAATGCGTGGTCTGCAGGCAATTCTGCAGGTTGTGGGTTCGAGTTTAGCCTGCGGCTATGTTACGTGGGCCCTAGGCAAGCCGTGGGTTATGGACCATGTGCGTGTGCCCTTGGGCAAGGCACTTTGTCACTCATTGCTTCTCTCCACCCAGGAGTAAATGGGTACCTGTGAGGGTGGTTGATTTTAGTGGTGACTGCTCTATGTTCCGACACCCTTATGTTCCGACGGCCAAATGTTCCGACAACTCAACCTAAGTTCTGACACCCCTATCTTCCGACACGCCTATCTTCCGACACCCCTACCTTCCGACTACTCAACTTATGTTCCGACATCCCCATGTTCCGTCAGCCAGCACATAATATTGTGTTACTTTCGGCGATGGTTAGGGTTAGCTTTAGGAAAAGAGGGTTAGGGTTAGGGTTATAGGATTAGGGTTAGGAATCTGTTGTACGGGTTGTCGGAACAACAGGGTGTCGGAACACATAGCCGTGTCGAAACATACGGGTGTCGGAACAGAGTCTCGGAACATAATGGGTGTCGGAACATAGGTGTGTCGGAACATAGATGAGTAACCTCAGGAGATACATTAATTGTCATTTCAACTTGGAAGTTTAAAATCTGGTAGTCAGTAGACAGTTATGTGATACATTGGGGTCACAACTTGTGAAAATGCTAAATTACAAAAGAAGATAATTCATTACCATAATGTGGCAATATTAGAGTCGAGTCCTCAATCCGAGTACAGAATACACCGAGTACTTTAGAGGCCGAGTTCAAGGCCGAGTACTGAGCCGAGTCCGAGTAACTAGAAGTCCGAGTCCGAGTACGAGACCGAGTACAATTCCAAAAAGGACCAAAAAAATAAGCAAGAGAATAAATACAGGAAAATAAAACTTGATTAAATTTAATTAAATAAAACTAACACAGCAAGCAATCCATTTTTTTTTTACCAAATGGAAACACCAACAACTTCTTTGGGTGAATGGAACGACACCGTTCTTTAATGGTTTAACCATACCGACAATATACTATTTTGGGGAAAAAACAACAACACAGTTCACACATTTGGCGTGCAGTCACAAAAGTGACCATATAGCTAGAATGACGTACATGTAAAGGAGTACAGATACAGATGACACGTACGGAAAAGCCAAGGCGTTCCGAGCATGTACAAATGATTTGTGTAAAATACCCAAGATTTCCCTAGGTAACGGAAAATACATGCGCTTTTTGTAGCACTGAGGATTCGTGAATCTGGAGCTAGCCAAGTCCTTGCTTCTTATGTTCGATCGGCGCTACAGGGTTACCAGTGAGACCATTTCGGAATTTTTCCCGAGCAAAATCCTAAGTTGGAAAAAATCCCCATAATGATCTAACTGGTAACGACGTGAGTTCTAGCTTGCAATGGAATCGACAAAATGAAATGTACTCGATTTGCACTCCCGAGTACTATACTGGGACCGAGTACCGAGTCCGAACCAACGAGTCCGTGCCCAAATTCGAGTGCAAAGAATCGAGTACGGGCAGAGTCCAAATAATTTCGAGCATAGTCGATAGTTCGGGCCGAGAACTTTGGTGTACTCGAGCTGTATTCGAGTACGAGTACGAGTACAAGTACTCCAACACTGCCTTGTGACATGTTATTTGAAAACACTCTCTTTAATTTTCATGCCAGAAATACTGACACCCAATACGGAAATAACCCCAGGATCGAGAGGTCAAAAAAGGCTTGTTTACTGACGATTCCCGCAGCTGAAAGAAAACGCAAAAGAATTTCGGGGATTCCCCGCTATTCATGTGACATCTGCAAACCTGGAGCTAGCCGGGAATCCCCATCCCAATCCCCGATAGTGCATGTACGGTGTCATATGAAAATCGGACTCGTATGAAAATCGGACTCTTTTTTCCTTTTATTGGTTAAATCATCTCACGTGACCGGTCCCTCTCCTAATTATCTATGCATGAGCATGCGCAATACCACCAATGAGTCCGTATTTCACTAAAACCTAAATTCATACTACACCGGCATTGCATGCAGAGTAACCCCAGTGGTCCGGATATGTGTATAGGTCATAGAGCTGCGTGTTGATAGAACACAATCGAAATAGATGGATTGAATTTGAAAATGTACTCTAAATGCAACGCGCAAGTAAAACACACACAAGACAACTTAAGCGCGTCATGACGGTTCAAAAAGCATCTGCAGCTAGCGGATACACGCACGCGTTGCACTGTTTGTGCATAGCGAAATGACATGCCCATTTGCTGCTCGTGCGTTTCAGTTTCGGGCGTATCGGCTTCGATGACGCACCGGTACGGAATACAAACGCAGATGCAAAAACATGACAAAATACGAAAACGATTTTGAGTTTTCCATATGTTTGTGCACAAACATATGGATGCGCCCAGCAGGCATGACTGTGTACACGCCAGTTAGCGCTAAAGTATATAGCTCTATTATATGGGCTTCGTGCGCCAACAACGGTGGGACATTTAGTTGGTTGACGCGCACCGTTCCTTGTGCGTGAGGCACGTACACAAGGGCATTTGTACTATGTACACGCAGTAGTACGGCAAAATTGCAGTCAGGCAAGATGGCGTCGGTCGGTCACCCCCAACTGTACTTTCTTTGCCGCCGAGGGGGTACGCGGCCAAATCTCAATACAATATATGTGTGCCCACAAATTTTCAGGTATTAGAGCATTTTGAGGGCCGTGAATTTGAGCATTTAAAACAAATAGAAGGTTTGAAGCCGTGCAGAGGACTGAGAGCTCGCATTTCTGTGAAATTGTGACCTAAAATAGCTGTACTTTGCATTGAAGTGTATATAGGCGTCCAGCTTGACTTGAGACAGGAAACTGGTTCTTCAGCGAAGCCAGCGGGCTGCCTACCCGTATATGGCTAACAGAGGACTCGGCATGCATGGGGAGGGCCTCCCCAATTCATAGTGCGCCAGCACCTAGCCTACCACTTGTTCGCTCGTCATAATACAAAGGAAATATTGTTAGGTGTTCGGGCCCCGAGGAATAAAGTGAGAGTTTATGAAAGCAGAGTAAGAGTCGTACAAATTGGAACATAAAACGTATTGAAATATAATGCATTTGAATTCAAGATGTTTTTCGAAACAGGAACATGTATTTCATCTCCCGACAGCATTTTTCAAAAATGAATGCCTTTGTGCAAACCGAACACATCTCTACGATTTTGATGTGTTTCTCAAAACCGAATGGTATTTTACAAACTTAACCCAATAAATTGTTCGGGAAAGTACTACAGCGTGCAGTAGTGCAAATGTAAAACTTCATTCGGGTTTGAAAATGCATTCGGGTACTAGTAAAATTACATGTTCGATATTTCGAAATACATTAAGATGTAATGTGCATTGCATTTAAAGACACGGTCGAATTTAAAAAAAAAAATCTGTTTCTCAAAATAAAGTTATCTGTTTAACTCTATTTCTGCTGTGTAATGTTGACATGTAATTTCAAACCTAAAGGAAACGCGCACAGGATGTGGCGGTGATGTGAGCAGTATTTTTAACATTACGCTTTCTATCACATGATGACTATTGAACAATATGTTTAACTGCCTTTCCTTTTTTTCAACAATGTTGTGAGTGCAATAAACCTGATAGGTTGGCCATTCGTTTACTTCCTTGAATTAAGGGGACACTTCAACTTCTTAAAATTACCGGTAGTTATTTGGAAATGATCATTTTATAATGTTTTGAGAAAGCACTAGACACATAAGCAGCGATGAAAGACAAGGGCATTTTGGGGAATAACAAATGCACCTTTTTTTCAATCTGTTTAGAAACATAATCACTTCTATAAAACACTGTCCGTAAAAAGATTCTACCATGACTTTCACAAGAAAAAGTCTTTACTTAAAGTTAAGAATGAATTACTTTATCTGATGATTTTATATCCTGGTATTCCCCCCCCAACAAAACAAATACACACACAAATGAGCAAATACTTCAAGCCATTAAATAATCGCGTTTATGATGCCCCAACAAGACGTCAAATTTATATGACCCAATAAACCTATTAACGAAAGAATCTTAAAATTAGCATGTTCCGCTAATGAGATATGGCTTAAGGGCTTAAAAACTTAAAATGCCATAACGAATCACACGATGACGCCATCATGACGTGATCTAAGTGTTTATTTATAACACATCCCGATCTACTTACAATACCAAGTTTGAACCCATTCTACGGACGGTTCTCTATATATGGGACTCTACAATAGGCATCTTTAAGGTGACGCCACGTGACCCATGATGTTGTCGTCAGAAGCCCCAAAAAAAGGAGTTTCCGCCAAACTGCTACTTTCACTTTTGGTTCTCGCCTCTGAGCAAGTGAAAAATAATCTACCCAGAACCAAACAGTATTACTCAACAGCCTCTCACTGCGACAGGTGTTTGACACAGTTTTAGCGAAGGAATCAACGTTAATTCTCAAATACAATTGCAGCACATGAATTAGGACTAGGACTAGGGTAATTTTCAGGGACGTCATTGGTCATGTTTCTTCAAAAGTATAAACGTAGGAGTGATGGATGTGTCTCCGAGCATCTGTTATTATTCACTCTGTTCGCAACAGCTTGTCAAACTGGAGTAGTCTTGTCACAGAATGGTAAGTCATCAATTTCTTTCTGGAGATCGTGCTGATCTATGATCACATTTATTGTTAATTGTTCAGTTTTTCATAATGAGACTTTTATAATTAATACAGAAAAATAACAGTCAGTGACTTCATGTTTGAGGAAGTCTTGTGATTAAAGGGAGCGTAATGAGGATAAGTGCAACCCGAACGTTTGTATTTGGTCGCATTGTTCAATGAAAACAAAATTTCTCTCAGGAGTGACTCATAAAATCAACAAGACAACAGGCATAACCCTGAGTTCGTACCTCAACAATGCACTTACTATGTTTCCATTTCAATGGCACGCGTCCAGATTTGCGAATCATTATTTATTTTTATCGTTATTTAAGATATTACAAGATAGATTTTTGCGCCGGGGGATATAAATCAAATTAAGTTTTGCCCTTCACCGTCGTTTAAACACTGTATACTTAGTGTGTTACCTCACTAACGAAAGTTGGAAAAATGACTTTAGCTCGGTGGTCGAGTGGTAAGACATCTGCACTAGAAAGCAGGAGGCTGTGGGTTCGAGTCCCACCCGAATGATTTTTCCAACTTTCATTCGGGAGGTAACACACTGAGCATACAGTGTTTTAACGTCGGTGAAGGGCAAAAACTAATTCGAGCTATTTAAGTTGCTCTATGTCTTTTCCAGAATTATTGGGGGAAAACAGAGCAACAGCAAGGACAGTGATTGTTATCGTATTTCACTTACCGATTTTCGTCCACAAAAGCACCATCGGGGTTTATACTTCCCTTATATGTGGAAAAATGTATCGATTTTATTTGTAATGGTTAAAAAACGGGTGAGGGCCCTGCACATGTTGACCTCATTTTGTTCAAAAATCTAACATATGGGAAATTTTTTTGCTTTTTAGCATTTGCGGGTCATTCTACAGGTTGTGGGTTTGAGTCCTGGCGGGGTCATGGTGCATGTGCCCTTGGGCAAGGCACTTTGTCACTCATTGCTTGTCTCCACCCAGGAGTAAATGGGTACCTGTGAGGGCAGAGATGGTTATTCTGGTTGATTTTAGCTGCTATGCACTAAATTGGCAGCATCCAGCTGTATACTCCTCAAGGAGCTGAGATGGTTTTTGGAATGATTCGTTGGCCCAATGAGCAGCGTTGTGATGTAGCTTCTTGAGCACCAATAAGGGTGGAAACGTGCGCTTTATAAATATGCATTACAATTATTACTTATGCATTTTTGTAAGGTTTATATAAATCTGATCTCACCACGTTTTGATTACAGCCCCTGGTCATTTGGGATGCTACAGAGACTGTGAAGGTCTTCTCACATGTGCTCGTGTTCTACCTTTCGGACCTGTACGGAGCAACTCTCAATCTGTGGAGTGGTGCTTTCAGCATTGCCTAGATAGGCGCGCATCGAGCTACAGGTACGCAGGTCTCCAAGTCGGAGATGAATGCTTCTGTGGAAATAACGAAGACTACGACAGACTAGGCAAAGTGGATGGATCTCAGTGTCACGATCGGTGCAGAGGAAACAACAACCAGATCTGTGGAGGCATCAGGCGGATCTCAATATACGAAAGTAAGGCTTCAATAATACATTTAAACATGCGCTGTTATTATACATTACCAGTGGCAGGTCAATGATTGTTGTTTATTCCACAAGGGGGTGGGATGGGCGCTGAGAAGTTCATGATTTTCCATACAAAGACAAAAGGCCTCAGGCAATAAAATATTAGCGTTATGATTCTTAAAGATGTCTAAAAATAGCAAGACGTAAAGGGGCACTTCGTCCTGATATCGTCGACATGTCATGCTTCATGATTACTAAGTCTTATCCTATTTCAAAGGCCTGATTGAAACGCGACTAACCTAATGTAGCACTGTTCCTAAGGAAAGACAAAAAAACCCAGGTTTTTTACTTCTGACGTGATGAGAATTTTGTGGCAAACACATACGCATTTCTAACCGTGAATAAGTAGCTATCTTGGACGTTGCCCCAGCTTCTTTAATTTGTTCCTGATGTCAGACGATTCAATGTACAGTACGTGTCGTGTCAAGGATGTGTTAACAAGTTGTTTCCTTCACGTCCGCGGCATGAGATGCACTGGTGGGACACGTGCAAGGGAATCACGACTTATTGATGTATTACTTATTTATTTATTTCTCGGGTATCTCATTAAGTGGAACCCATTGATCTCCCATGGGTCCAGTGAGGGAAGACAATGTGAATAGATTTTGATATGGCATTAAAACCCTTAAATAATTGGAAAACTTACTACTCTGGTAGGACAGACAACCCAATCCACATATTGGGCCAGGCAGGAAGCGAACCCACGCCACAACGGTATAAGAACCGCTACGGAAACCCGACTCAAAACCTGACTTGGACGACCAATCTCCATTTTTTAAAGAGTCAACAATTTGACCCCCGAAATTTGTTCCCGCAAGAATAACACGAAAACGGCAAATGTTTAAAGGATGCTTGTGTGGACGTTTATATTGTACTTTTAAATGCGCTTTCCAATATATTCATTTGTTTATATTGCAATGTAGCCCGATTGGGCTAACAATACGTAAGACTAACAAAAAGGGAATTGCAACTTGTGAATTGTAATTGTGATGTTCTGAATGTTCAGTGTCTTAATGGTCAGTCTGAAGTGTTTCAAACTGACTGAAGAATCATTTTCAGAAATGTATTCCAATGTAATTATGCCATTTTATTGACCAATGAAAACATATCTTTAATAACAGTATTGCAAGGAGTGTGTAGTAATGACATAGGACCACCCACCAACGGAGCCAACGACATCACCAACCCGCGTTCACTGTCCTTTAATCTCAACAACTTCAAGTTCTTCGGGACTCGTGTAGATTTCTCCTGTGACCCCGGATATACCCTCCATGGAGCATCCAGCATTGAATGCATTGAGACTGGCTACAACAACGTCACTTGGAGTGACTCGGTACCCACCTGCGAAGGTTGGTAAAGTTAACTGATTCAAAAGCTGTTTCATAAAATGTCTCTGTATTGTTAAAGGGAAGATACAACATTTACAAACATCAAAAAACAAAATGATCAAATTATCACGAAATACCCCACTGAATTGTTAGGGACTGATAGTCTAAAACATCCTTTAAAATCGTGGCTTCTGGTGTGCTGACATTTTGAAGAAAAAGTGTATTTTTCCAACGCTGGTCGGCCGACCAGCGTTGGAGAAAACTGGCCTTTTTCAAAAACTGTTCCTAATTTTTCATATTTAGTTATTCTGACTTTTCTTTGCAATTGATTACACACCTGTGAAGGGGTACAAGCCTGCTAGACTGATTCTCCGACCTTACAATTCCCCAAAGTGTATTAATTGCTCCGTTTCATCTTAAGTGGGGTCAGGGAACCAGACTACAAGAACATGATAGGTTTTCTTGGTTTTTCCAGCATCTACAAGCCCAAAACGTGAAACAAGTCAGTTTCACAATATTTTCTATAGCATACTTATCCTCCAAATCCATTTATTTCTGAAAATTGCAGCAAAAGCAAATGTTGCGCATTCCTTACCCGGTTTTAGAATGGAAGATCGTTGCTTCACATTTTTATGTTTTATATTGTCCTGGCCACGTGGTAAACACACCCGGGGCCATCTCTCACCAGATCGTAGTATGGACCATAGTACCTCCTTCAGAGGGGGTGTCAGTCTTGTGATCCTACTGGAGGGGTTGAAAATTGGCGGCAAAACCCTGTGTGCTTGTGCACATTTACATAGGCTTGTGTACAAATGCACTATATACATTGGGATTATTCGATCACCCCTGTGACCAAAATGGAATGTCAAATGGGGTTATGTCTGTGGTTTTAACGGCTGTTTGGGGCCTGAGAGATACTCCAGACATGCCAGAGGTTAATCAGGGGTGAATGGGCTGGTTGTGAGGGTCGGGTGGCTCAAATTACATTGTGTAGTAACCACATTCCATACAGTCATTGGATAGTAAACATTAAAGGTGCGCGCTCCAGGTTAAGCCAATTCGGTTCCCGAGCAATGACGAAGTTCGGGTCACGAAGACGTCCGACACATGTGCCAAAGCTAATACTGCTATACCTTAGTGTGGTATTACTGACAAGAAAACAACCGTTGAAGAAATAAAATAAAGGCTTAAACACGGAGTGATTTATTTATTAACATCGTCAGTTCCTTTTGGGAGGCTGAACACATAATGATGTACGTTGCATACCTTACAAATGATAGTTGTGTCCACATAAATACACATAAATAGACTTGTGCCAGTCATGCGCTTTATCCAACTTTAGGAGGTTAAGAGAAAAGTACCCGGTGCACAGAAAGAAATTTTGCAAACCTGCAACAGGAGACAACAATGGGCATGGAATATTATCCTACTTCCTTAATCCTACACAAATCACAATTATCCTCTTACTATGCAGAACCAACGACAGTAGTGCCTTCCGTTGGAAATACGAAGCCTACTAGTACTAGGCCCACGATAACAGCTGATGTGGTGACCGAGGGGGCATTTAGAAGCAACGGTAAGTCAGTGCCTGTTGTCTCCGCCATAATGTACACTTCTCACGCAACGGGGGTTGGGTTCCAAACCTTAGTCCCGTATAGCCATGTTCGGCATGGTGACCGTTTTAGCCGATTTTCGGCTAACTTTGACAGAATTTTTGTTCAAAAATGAGTTTAAACAGAAAATTTGACAGAATGGATTTTTATGGCAGATTTCTGGCAGAATTCTGCAAAAATGGTTACTTAACAGAAAAAGGACAGGTTGTCTTGTATATGTGCTGAGGTTCACTGGGAATCAGATTTCGTCATGACGACGCAACCTCGTTTTGACTGAATTGTACGTAATTTCATAACACCTTTATATGAATAAAAACTGTTTATAATGTAAATTGAACCTTAATTAAGGCAATATCACAACATCTGCATGTGATTTCAAGTGTTTAATAGTGTATTTTGAGTAATTTACGGGAAATTGGCAGATTTTTGATCAATCTGACAGATTTTCGGAGTGCATTTAGCAGAATTTGGGCATGACCTTGTGGTCACCCTGATGTTCGGTTACAGGATATTGGAAAACCGGAGACTCCGGTGTAGCGTGGATATGGAGTCATTAATTTGTAGTATTGCGCATGCGTTAGTAAGATGCCATCCTATTTATAGGACTATGTATAGGAGAGTGACTTGTCACGCGTAAGGGATTAGGCCTAACCAATAATAGGGAAAAGGGGTCAGATTTTCATAGGAGTCGGATTTCCATTATAACACCGGCAGAGTAAACATGTATTTTGAACAATACATTCCGTAACATGTGGGAAAACCCGTAAATATGTCCTCATTGTTTAGGCATGAAAAGGTTCATAACGATTCTGAAACCACAAATAAAGTCAATGGCGCCAGCAATAAGGGTGGACCAAATTGAATAGTATTAAATATAGAACAACGATTCAATAGATATATTGAAAAAGGTTATGAATGAGTGACGCTGGCTTTTGATTCCGTGCAGAGCCGTTGGATGTTGGAGTCGTAGTGGGACCGTTGGTGGCGGGCTTCATCGTTGTATCGGCAGCTCTTGCACTATTGATAGTTTGTATTAGGCGGCTTAAAAAAGGAGTGTACAACCACCTGGTTAGTAATGAAAGGTAAGAGACAGAGTCATCGCCCAGAGATAAGTTTCCTTTACATCGACAGAAAACAGTTCTCAGTGTACTAGTTTGGCCAACAATAGTTGCTCAACAACTCGATTATGATCAGTATCAGATGCAGAACACAGAATATTTTCTAGACGAACAACAAGACTTTCGTTTAATCTTAAAGGAAACATGCAGTGGAAATTGAGCTCATTTAGTTTTCATGCACATTATTATGTGTTGCAACAATACGTACAAGAATGTAATACTTGTTTTCATTGGAAGTGACAAGAAAGTGGTGGGTTTTCAATTATTAGCAAATCCTTTCATCAATACATGTAAGAGGGCGCTATTTTGCTTTTGTCACACAAGGTTCTCCTTGTAAAAAGTGCATATGAACACTCCAAAAAATAGATCTTCAAAATTACCCACAAAAAAGTTCGAAGAAAAAGAGGCGACTACTACTATCCAAACAAGCTGCTTAACATGATAAACAAATAAAAAGGGGAACTTGCTCCAGGAAAATGAAGAAAATTTTGATGTTCACAACCCTATAAAGACACTTCTGTTGTGCCTTGAATGACGTAATTTTGATCATAAATTTGAACAATTTCATTAGCATAAAAACTAAAATGTTAAAATTTCTCTCTTATATTCCCTACAAAGGAGGTGGAAAGTCATAGTTACATGGCAAAAAAGCTGTTTCAAATGTGTTCAAGTCATAAAATTCTATTCCTGATCCTATGTTATGTTTCCTTTAACATTCCCGGGATGTTTTAAGAAATCTGTTTGCATATTGGCAAAAATGAGGTTGTACAAAGATACATTTTACTTCTGCTCTTCTTTTTCAGTCACACGCCACCAAGCCATCTTTCGCAATCTCTGCGTTCGGAAACACAGGAACAAGTTTGTACAATACAGAGAGATGAACAACTTCCAGGTGAGTCAAACGGAAAGGTGATGTGTTTTTAACCCTTCGAGCAGTGGCGCAGTGAAACAAATCTCATTGTTTTCCAAATATGGTCATATTTTTTTTCAATGGGCCAATAAGGCCAGGCTTCCATGTAATCCTCACCCCTACCATACACCACGAGCCTGTAGACTCCCATCGGCCAGACCCTAGCCACTCCGGAGTAAGGAGTATTGAAAGACAGAAGCCAAGATGGCGGCTAAAAAATAATGCCTTTGTGCAGTAATTGGAGATCTTAGTGGCCAACTCTCAAGTGCCGCTGATCCCTTTGTGTCAACCACTCGTGCCGCCAAGAGCCCAGACAGATTGTAAACAATTCCTTGCAATGTGCATGACCTATATCTTGTGTATGTACAGGCATGCCAGGGTTATCGACCTAGAAACACGAAATGTGATAAAATTCTCATGGTGGTTCCACCGCGTAAAATTTTTGGGCTTGGACATGTTGAAGCTCGAAGGGTAGTTGTCCGAGATTCAGTAAATCGTCGTTCGTGTAAAGTGGGCATCCAAGAGATGTTAACCATGGACTATGTAAAAACTCCAACTTCCATTGCCAGAGTTTGAGTCTAGCCGAAGTTAACCACAATTCAATCAAAAGTCAGTCATGACTTTGTCATGAATTAATAGCCAGTGAAACACTGGTCATCTGGAGATCAGTCACAAGTCGAAAAGAAATAAATCACAAGGAATTCGCATGTAAATTACAATTCACTCGCAAAGCAATCATAGACAATCACACATCTGTCACAGGTAACCATGAGATTAAATCACTGACATGCCAATTCACGCGTTGGACCACAAGTAACGCATATTTCAGTTCATTGTAAAAACGATTTCCTTCAACTTGAAATATGACTGGCACTTGAATTGTGATGACTTGTTGATTGAATTGTAATTGAACTTTACTTTAGACCTAACATGACTGATTGATGAATATTGCATCCCGTGTTTTTACAATGTAGTTGTCTTGTTATTGACTAATGTACAATCATGGGCGTTGCCAGGATTTTTTTTTTTTTGGGGGGGAAGCGAATGTTCCCCACCTCTAAATCGTTGTATTCTTTCTCTGGCATATTTTCAACTGATCAATTTTTTTAGGGTGAGCGGGGGACATTTGCCCGCCCACCCCGTTGACACCCCTGCAGACGCCATATTGTTAAATGTGTATCAAATGAATAGCAAATTCACACCGCTTTGACTCTTCTCCTTTCCTTTTCTCCTCTTGTTTTGTTTTTGCTTTTCCAGGGGGAGAGAGCAATCGCCCACCATGCATATAATGACTAATGATGTCTTACGATCACTTCTGATTGACATATGTGATTGACATGACATTGAGTTGATTGAAACTTTGTTGTCTGATTACCAAAACAAAAATGGAAAAGAAATATCTATCCACAATTTTATTTGAACATCACTCTTGATTTTCAAACAGATGTGTCTTTGGGTATTTTGCCAACATCGACTGCGAATGAAAACCCCCCTGGACACGAGATCCAAACTGCGCATGCTGTCTACCGCAACGTAGGCCCCAATCTCTCGTTCCCACGAAAACTCGTAAAAATCGAGAAAGAGATTGGTCGAGGTGCCTTTGGGAGAGTGCTGCTGGGCACCGCACTCGGGATCAAGGAAGCTGGCAAAAGAACCAAAGTTGCAATAAAAACAATCAAAGGTAAACTCAGTGGTATTAGAATAGTCGCGGGTGTGAGCGGTGCATGCAATGGGGCCGTGTCATAAGTCCGACGCCTCATACGTCCGACGCCTCATAAGTCCGAAATTTCGGACTTATGAGGCGTCGGACTTATGAGGCATAAAATTTATTTATTCCACCTCATAGGTCCGACGCCTCGGAAGTCCGACGCCTCATAAGTCCGACAACGGAAAAAAAACGAGGCGTCGGACCTACGAGGCGTCGGACCTACCAGGCGTCGGACTTATGAGGCGTCGGACCTATGAGGCGTCGGACTTATGAGCGGACCCCCATGCAATGACCAAACTACAGACTAGTATAGACCTTTCTGCGCTTGGTTGGCAAACTGCATTTTTGCCAATCACGGCCTGCAAAACTATGGAAGGTCCAACACTGCAAAAATGAAGAAGATTTATTACAAATCACCAAAATACTATTTGATACCTGAAAATACAACATTTCAATAAAACTACAAAATAATTCCCACATATGCCTTTTTACTATGTGTTGATGGCTTTATGAGGACTTTTTTTTGAAAAAATATGTTGCCAACCACGGCTTCAATTTATGTGCATACGGCAGCCCTTACAAAATGGCGCCAATGTTTAAAAACAAAGAAAGGCCTATGGCAGCCACAACAGGAGGGCGCTATTCCGTTTGGGTAGATGTGTTGTTTTGTCCACTAGCTGGCATTTTTGCATGAACCCAGTTACCCCTCTTTTTGTGATCTCAAAAAGTCAAATGAGTATTTAGTAATTTCCCGAAATTTATGAACAATGATTTGCAAAGCTAATTAAATAAGTGATTCTTCTGACAAAATAAAAGGTTTCTTTAGACGATTGGAACCTACGTCAATGTCGAGTAACATGAACATTTATTTTTATACGAGTGAATTCCTTTCGTACCAATAGAGGGCGCCGACCGACAGGCGAAGCTTGAGATGCTGGAGGAGTTGCACGTCATGAAAAAGATTGGTTCTCACCCAAACGTCGTCAGATTACTCGGCTATTGCATAGAGACAGGTAGGACTCCGTGCAATAGACAATTTGTGTTTCTTTTGTTCCGTATAACGGTGTACGGACAACAAATCTGGGCGTTACTCTTGGAATAGCTAATAACGAGCATTTTCTTGTTTTATTAAAAGCATACTGTATTATTCTGAAGGGATTATTTTGTTTTCTATTTGCAGATATTCCCTTCATATTTATAAGAACGTGTTTTTTGCGCAATATACTGGTATGTAGATAAAGGTAATTTTGACTACACTCACCTGAATGAGTCAAAACAGCCATCATTATTACTCAATGGAAAAAATGTATATATATTTAAATGTTAAACACAAAATGAAGGGCTGAGATCCTCATTCTCCAATGAATACAAAAAGCAAACATTGTTAAAAAAATTTCTAAAGGCTCATCTCCTGGGATTGGTCAGCCATTTGGATATGTATGACTGGTAGTAACTTTAAAAGTTCAATTCATTAAAGATCCCATCTATCTCATCGTGGAGTACCTGAGTAAGGGCGACCTCAAGAAAGTCCTGATGGGATACAGAGTCACGGATCCTGGGACCGGCTATGCCAACATTTCTGGTCCGAGTCAATCACTCTCGTTGACCTTGGTCAAATTCGCCAGGGACGTAGCCAATGGAATGGCATTCTTGGCCTCGCAAAAGGTAGGAGTCTCTATGCTAGACTTTAGGGGGTAAATATCGTTACCCACACCATGAACTGACACCCAGTGATCAGCGTTGAAGAAATACAAATCGGAGAAAAACGCTTTTAAAGGTTTGACACGAATTAACTCAGTAAAATATTCCATCTATCTTAGAGGTTTTGGTATCACTTAACTTGAAAGTGCTTAAACTACTCAATTATGAACGTTATATTATGAAAATCTGTAAAAACACGTAAATTTTGGTTTTCACGAACCGACACCCTGTGCAGGGTCACTTCGTGGTAACAAAAAATGCCAGAATTGACCAATTTCTTGAAAATTCACTAGTAAAATTTGCTTATTTTAGATGATTTCAGCAATTTTAGCTTCGTCATGGTAAACTTCATGATACAAACTGCTTATATGTGCACATGTGATGCAGAGGGTGTCAGTTCGTGGTGTCGGTGAAGATATATACCATATACATGTAGCACATTTTGAGCGAGTGAGGGCGCTTTAACGAAAACACTTTTGGGATACTGATGGTAGAAATATGAGTTTCAAATTAAGTCCATAACCATTCTTAAACTATTTAAAATTAAATACAATTTTTTTTCTCGCGACATATGAAATTTCTATCACTGAACTTAAATGAACGCTGACTGCATCCCAAAAATATCGCGCCCTCATTCGCTTAACAATACGCAAGCCTGCTGAATTCCGTGAGAAAAAAAAATCGCTCTATTTGTATCTTGAATGACATCCGACGGAATGTCATATTCCAAATGCACAACGTGTGGTTTGCAGTTTCTCCTACTTGAACACTTCAAACACTTCAGACTGTCAAATTACACCAATTAACAAACAAGAATAGCCCCTCTGTTATTGTTCTCACTTTAAATGTCAAAAGTCGCCCCTAGCTGACCAGAATCCACCACCAACAATCCACCATTTATAAATCTTGCCGACTCATTGCAGTGCATTCACCGTGACCTGGCAGCCCGTAACGTACTGGTTGGTGAAGACATGGTCTGCAAGGTATCTGACTTTGGACTCGCTCGTGACGTCATGAATATTAGAGTCTACCACCGAGAATCCAAGGTACTGTATGTGTATCTGTAGAATACTGTTCAATAGGATATCCTGCACGGGTGTCGGCTTGATATTCTTAAAATATATCCACTTATACATATGAAAGCAACACGAGGAAACTACGTTTAAATGATGCATTTTGCTTTTGCATCAGGCAGACTTGTAAGACTCATGACTCGGACTCGGGTCCTATTTTCCGTGACTCGGACTCGGACTCGAGCCACAAGGACTCGGACTCGGACTCGAGTCACAATGACTCGAACTCAAGTCACAATGACTCGGACTCGAGTCACAGTGACTCGGACTCGAGTCACAATGACTTGGATTCGGACTCGACCCTACGGACTCGGATTTGGACTCGAACTCGACCTGCGTGATTCGGGACTCGTCCAAAATTACCACGAATCAGTTCTTGTTTTGTCAACCATATAATTTCAAATTATTTTGAGGGTTTCCTCTCCTAAGAAAGCGGTATATTTGGGGGGTGCATGCAAGGGCAGATCCACAAACACAAAAGTGGGTCCCCGGATTCGTAATTTTTTTTCATACTAGATGCTCTGTGGTGCGATCTGAGGAAATTTTTTGACAACTTTAACCATTTAAGGAAAATATGGTGGTGTACGCAGTAGCTGCCTTTTTTGCGAGGCAGAAAAAAAACCATCTAGATACTCTACATAAAAAGCGCATGTTGCTGGCTTATTCCGATATATTCTTGTGGGAATCAATGAATCGAAACATGTACCCGCCTAGCGTCCACACTTGATGTTGCGAAAAGCAAGCTTGAAAGTGTAAGGTACCAGATTATCTTTTCCAGACAATGGTGATTTGCCTAATAATGGTTATATATGAGTTTGCAGTTCATTAAATTAGAGGAAAGCTGTGAACAAAATGGGCAAAAATATTTGCAATAGCCTTTATAGTAACTCGGACTCGGACTCGAACCTTGTGACTCGGACTCGACCTGAATGACTCGAAACTCTGCTTCGGAGTAAATGTAAATTGAAGGGCAAAACTCACTAACACGGAAAAAACAGATCTGGGACATATTCACTCGCCTTAAAAAGTTTGACCAATATTTTCCCGACAGAATCCACTACCCATTCGCTGGATGGCACTGGAGTCCTTAGTTGATGACGTATACACAATAGAGAGTGACGTATGGTCTTTCGGGATTCTGATGTGGGAGATCGCAACACTTGGTAAGATATTTCATTGAAACTCCATTTATGTTTTTCATCAGACTTGCTGAGGGTACCGTAGTATATGTACAGTTTGATTTAAATAATAGTTCTCAGCGGTTAATGTTAAATGACAAAAACGTTATAATACCCACCGATAAATATTTTATAAAATGCTGGTTATTTACCTTTAACAATCTTGACAGGTGCCCGGCCATACCCACACATCAGGACTAGCAAAGCAATGCTGAACCAGTTGAGTAGAGGCTATCGCATGTCCAGACCAACAAACTGCAAGAAACAACTGTAAGTATTAAGTAGTAAGTAGTAACTGTACGTAGTAAGTATTATCATGACAAATTAACCATTCCAGTCACGTTGTGTGCAAACAAGTGTCAGGCATTAGTTGCAAAATAACAAAAGCCTTAACAGTTAAACATGGTGGCATGTAAAATCATTATGAAGGTCAGAAAGATGTCAAATAGACTGGCACCCTCTACTGGATACTTTGATTAAAACAAACATGGCGCCTCTGTTAACTTGTAGTAGATTAAGAAACTTGACAAGAGTGTATATTTCGCATGCACCTGTTTTCATCTACCAGAATTAATTTTGTTTCAGATATTCCATCATGCGTAGTTGCTGGCATAAGAATCCGAAGGAAAGACCAACGTTCCAAAATGTTGTCGAGAATCTGGAGGCTTTGCTCAGTCAGGAAATGGTAAACGATTAAAAAAAATATTAGCAAATCTTACAGGTATAGTCCATCATTTGTAATTTGTGCATTTTGTTCGTTTGAAGCAACAAACGTGCTACAAATCTAAAGAAGGGTGCTGAGCAACTAACCTGATGAAGTTTCAGCTCAGCTTCAGCTGTATATTTCGAGAAAAACAGCATTCTATGATCTCGATTGCAGATCAAAAGTTGCTAAATCATGTTTCGAATTGGGCCTGAAATCAGCGTCCAAGACACGTTCTTACCATAGAGCTATATTAAATTACTAGAGCGATAACTTCGTGTACAAAGTAATGCCTGCTGGGCGCATCCATGTTTGTGCACAAACCTATGGAGACCTAGAAATTTTGTACGGCTTTTTGCATATCTGCGTTTGTATGCCATACCGGTGCGTTATCGAAGCCAATACGCCCAAAACCGAAACGCACGACCAGCAAGCCAGCGTATCATTTTGCTTTACACAAACAGCGCAACGCGTGCGCGTATTCGCTGCAGATGCTTTTTGCCGTCACGTTTTCTTTGAACCGTCAATGACGCGCTTAAGTTGTTTGCGTATGGTCTACTTGCGCGTTGCATGTAGAGTACACTTTCAAAATTCAATCCATCAAATTTCATTATGTTCTACAGACACGCACGTGAATTCAAAATGTCTGCGCTCAGGACGGCTTCAAAGCGTCTCCGCGCGCAGAATGACGAGTTAGCGCTCTAGTAATTTTATATAGCTCTATGGTTCTTACTGAGCTGAATGCAGCTACGCGATGTCGCGCACTGATCCGACGAAATATAGATGGCGCGCGCGCGTGTGCGTCGTGTCAACGCTTGTGCGCGCTTCGCTGAATAAAAAAAACCGAACTACTAACGGAAATTTCCAACGGTGCGTCTTAAGAAGCACTGTAGGAAAGGCCTCCTTTCGTTTATTTCTTCAAAATGACAGCATGCCAGAAAGAATAATTTCACAGGGAGTTTAGTCTTCTTACTATCTTTCAACCAAGTATGTTTTTCAACAATAATTACGTCATTTACTTTTTTGGATAGCTGCAAATGATTGACTATAGCTTTAAATTTAATACAACTTTACGAGTTTTTTCGAGAACCAACACGTCGGCCTACTTGTCTAATTATTTCAGAATTGTTGATTTTGCATTTACTTTAAACAGGAGTGCATAACTGTTGGAAACATTGACAAAGGTATCTACGAGGTCCCAAGTATCCTGGAAGACAACGAGAAACTGTGAAACAAGAAACTGAGGGATGTGTGTAATATTCTGGGAATTAAAAAAGGAGCTGGTTTCAACTTGAGTCAATACAGATTGCATATACTTGAGTCAATACAGGTTGCATATACTTGAGTCAATACAGATTTGGAATGTGTTTTATGTATGAAAAGACTCATGTTAACAAATGTTAATTAAGTAAAACGCAAACATATCGCATTGCACAGTTTCAATGAAAAAGAGGCCTCGGCGCAATTTAAAATAAAAACCTAATTCAAAAAAGAAAAAAAAAGAAACCTGTATGAATTAAACCATAACATAATAAACAAAAATTGTCAAGTTGTGACAATATGAATGTTACCGATGTTTTGTACTGCAAATGCGTAAGGTTTTATGGCGCGAAATTGTTGGTTGATGTGCTTTGTAATAAGCATTCATTTCGTGAATATTCATGACGTGATGTTGTTTGATCACATGGACGTGTGGCTGGGTTTATTTGTTACTGAGAGAGTAAACAATTCGTCACCGACACCACGAACTGACACCCTCTGTATCACATGTGTACAATTTTTTTTTTAATTTAAAATTTCTTTTTTGCACATATTAGCAGTTTGTATCATTAAGTTAAAAATAACAAAGTTAAAATTGCTGAAATCATCTAAAATAAGCAAATTTTACTAATGAATTTTCAAGAAATTGGTCAATTCTGGTATTTTTTGTTACCACGAAGTGACCCTGCACAGGGTGTCGGTTCGTGAAAACAAAAAATTGCGTGTTTTCGGAGAGTGCGCGCAAGCAATAGCGTTAGGGAGTGTCAGTTCGTGAAAACGAAAATTGACGCGTTTTTGGAGAGTGCGCGCACGCATGCGCAGTGTGTGCGCGCACTTTCCCGAAAACGCGTCAATTTTGTGGTTTTCACGAACTGACACTCACTAACGCTATTGCATGTGCGCACTCTCCAAAAACACATAAATTTTAGTTTTCACGAACTGACACCCATCTTAATCATTTAATTGCTAATAAAGTAAGGAGATTTTCACAATATAACGTTTATAATTGAGTAGTTTAAGCATTTTCACGTTAAGTGATACTAAAATCTCTAAGATAGATGGATAATTTTACTGAGTAAATTCGTGTCGAACTTTTAAAACCGTTATTCTCCGATTTGTATTTCTGCAACGCTGACCACCGGGTGTCAGCTCACGGTGTCGGTGACGAATTAATCAATTGCAGAGCTTGCTTTTGAAGCCCAAAGTTAAACAAGACTCGCTTGTATGACTTATGTAACGTAGTGAGAGCGAGCATTCTTACAATAGCCGATATTAATAATAGTATACTAATAGCTTATAATCATCTTAAATAACTTCCAAATACTACTGAAGCCTCTCTAAATAATATATATAAAAAAAATACTATAATCGTTCATCCAATTAGATTAATAATGTGTATCTTTACTCATATTAATTAGATTAACGAAGGACTAGTTTTGTGAGTAAAAGGAACGGTATAAGTTTACCAATTTTCTATATAAGCTTGATTTTAAGTCGTTTGATATTGAGTATACAATTCTGCTAAGTATATGGATATAGTTTGCCATGGCTGACTAGATTTTATTTAGTAAAAACATCTGTTTATCTAGTTTAATACTGAGTAGCTTTCTGCAAAGTAAAGTAGATTGATACAGTCTGCCACTGCCTAATTACATTTTAGTTCGTGAAAACATTTGCTTATTAACAAGTTTGATATTGAGTAACACTCTGCAAAGTAGCTTGATATAGTCTGAAATTAATGAACTAGATTTTATTCAGTGAAACCATCTGGTTAACTAGTTGTACATTGTGTATCATTCAGCAAATTTTAGTGATATAACCTGTCATGGCTAGACTTTAGTAAGTAAAACCATCTGCTTAACTAGTTTGATATTTAATTACATTCTACTGGACTTGGTTTTAACATCGCACTTAATTTGGAATTAAAAAAAAGCTTTAGCGGCTCGAAGGAGGTCAACATTAACCAGTATGCTTTGCGAAGTGTGTGTTTCCTTCAGGAAGTTTGTGGTTGAGACCGGCAGATGGGGGTTCGGGCAAATGAGATGACGTGCAGAAACGAGGAAGGAAGTACCCATTGGTTTCACATATCAAAAACCACTTCATCTATCTTGCAAAAAAATCACTGAACTGCATACGTGCGTCTGATACTATATAGAGACATGTTTACATGCACGCAAGGAACCTTAGCGTAAACTATATATTGATTGAGCGGTTTCAGCCAAAGGCAGCGTTTAATACAGATATATTCCAAAGGTCTAAATTATTACACACGCTGAAAGCTTTTTTTTGTGTTATCGGCTCCGTGCGCAAATAATAGAGGATGCTTTATACTTACACTATTGACCTATAGCCGTTCGCAAGTTAGCCACGCCCCTTAGACAACCCTATGGAACTTGTGTGCGTTGAGTTTTGTTTGTCTCGGATTTTGCGCGTTCTGCGTCCATTTGTATATCATGTAATTGGACAACATTTCACAAGCGTCGTTGACGCGATTCTCCAGCAATAGGTCAAAGGACCGATCCAGTAAGCCCCACCTGCGCACGTTGGCAAATAGACCGCTTGCAGACGCGTTCGATAATCGACGCGCGAAGGCGCGCGACGCCATGTTGTGGGACAGGCGTATATCAATTCACGCACATTTTGTCCCATAACATGGCGTCGCTCACCTTAGCGCGTCAATTATCGAACGCGTCTGCAAGCGGTCTATTAACACGTGCTCCTCTCCAATGCCACACTGCATTTTCCTGTCGCGCGCATCATACGCGCGTGCACGCGCACGCACGCATGTCGGGCTTTTGTGCACGCATGTCGGACATAAATCACGGCTGTGATTGGTCAGAATACCATGGGGCGGTGCTTACTGGATCGGTCCATTGAGAGCCCCGTTGACGGGACGCAATGATTTTAATGCAACCAACTTTAGTGCATGACGATACTGCGCATTCGTGAAACATATCACAAGTAGGATGTTCGCACGGGCGTCAGGCGTCGTTGGCGGAGCGGGCGGGAATAGAGTTCGAAAGTACGCCATTTTGTCTTTGAGCTTCCGGACCCCTCCGTGACCCTTCTATGGGCATTTTAAACGGGGTTGCCCTTTCTCTTTTTATACGTTTTGACATAATGATTTCTAACCGATATCACCACAAGAAACATTCATATTGGAATTTTATCGCGGCATTCCACAGGAAAAGAAATGGACGACAAATTAGTTGGAGATGGGTAGATCTTTCTCATAACTTCGAGATTTTGTACATGTACTTTGTGTTGTGTAACGTTACACAATTCATTATAGGGCAAACAAGACTCAAATAAATCAAGTATATCACAATGATACACTGTATTTCTATACGCAATTGATGAAACGTTGCCAGATCTACAAACATGTCCCTGAAGTATTGAAAGGAACTCCCAATGTAATGGAAAGAATGAGTTCTCATTTGCATTGCGGTGTGCGATTGCATCTAACCGCAAAAATGCACTGCCTATATATTGCGCTGCTTGCATATATGAATGACGGTGCGCGAACGGTCAGGTCGTTAAGCCCCTGTCACACCTTTGCGTATCCTAATTCCTTATGAGTTCCAAAAATGTTCAATACGCAGCCGTACGCTCAATTAACGTCGAAATGTTTTGATCACTTTGACTTATGTGCGACGCACATCAAGCGTACAAGTAACGAATTCAGCGCATCCATTGCGTATGAGATGCGTATGAGTTGCGTATATATGCAGTGCACAACATTATTTTTTGGGCTGCGAATAGGTCAGTATGCAGTGCGCATGCAGAAGGTATTCCGGACGCACCCGACTTATGCCAACCGCATGCTTGACGCACTTCTGAGCGTATTCCAGCCGCATTTCTGCCGCTCGCCGTTCAGCGTGCGTTGCATCTGCGCTGCAAGTACGCTATGTATACGTCCAATACAGGCGGCTCATATGCTGACGGGGTGCGTCACGAACACATAGCGTACTCGTAACGCACTCGACCGATGCGGGACCGATGCGCTGCGTACTTATACATTATGACCTGCGTAACAGCGTACGCAGCGTAGTTTTGTGCATGCCCAAAACTATCCTGCGTACTGGGTCGTACCATGCGTACATCTGCGTACATAAAACCTACACAAATCGATAGAGATGCATATGAGGTGCGTATTGTGCGTACGACTGCGTATGAAAAAAATGTCAATGCGCAACTCATAAGGAATTAGGATACGCAGAAGTGTGGCAGGGCCCTTAGATTTGTTGTAACCCGGCCGATAACCTACTAGTCTTATACCAGCTGCGCCGATGGAGTTAAACTGAAGTTTATCAAATCTACATTGTAGTAGGCAAAGATGGCATAGCGCACTGCACAGTAGGTAGTGGGCTAGCCTCTGTGACGGATAGCGAGAAAACGCGGAAACTACATGCTGCGGCTGGTGTGGCACAATTACAGAAACATCAAATGACTACGTGACACTTGCTTGTAACCCGATTGGGCTGGGAAAATGCTGCTGCACGCTATACAAGGGCTGTATCGTGAATTATTATATTTTTTTAATTGTATTTCTTTCTGGTTCAAATGAAACCAAGGATTCCACAAAAGTGCTTTCAGCACTGTAGATCGCAAGCCTGAGGAAACATGTAGAGGGAAGACAATGAGAAGAAATTACAGTTTTAAAGATGGGAGGAAAAGCCCAGAGGAAAATTCTAAGGAAAACACACGGAATCAGATAGGGACCGAAAACCCCATCCACATATTGGCCCGGGCGGGATTCTAACCCGGGTCACAGCGGTGGAGGGCGAGCAAAGTACCTCTACGCCAACCTAACTCCCCATACCCCAAATGTCTTTCAAAAAACACTATGTTCCGTTTGGATATGCATATTCAAAAAAATGCCAACTTTTTTCCAAGATGCACCGCGGGGACAGCAGGATATGTGCCGCAAACCGAAAGTTTTCTACAGTGCCAAAATGGTTATATGGAGCGGAACATCTTCGGAACTGTTCGCTGATGGGATATTCAGAAAAGAGAGG